GTGATGGAGAGTCTTTAAAATAATGTTGAAGAGAATCTGTAGAGGTTTTTGTCCCATAGATAAGGTCTCCTTGGAAAACATTAATATGAGCAAAAACATCATAGTTGTATTCAGAATTATTTCAAATGCATACCTTGATGCTCCCAGTTTTAATAAGATGAGTGCAAATTGTATACACAACTATAAAGAGCAAAGGAGTATTATCAGTAAGTACAGATAAACCGAGTCCTTACAAAATTAGAGTGTACAAGTGGCTTTTTAAATTTGTTACAGAAAAAGAAATTGGTTCCCTGATGTGGAAGCCTGTTTTCCTGGTTTACCCACTGTATAGGTGTAACGAGGACATAGTTGTTGCCAATAATAAAATGCCTTAGCTATGGAACTACTTGCTTAATTTCTTTTTATTTGTGTGACTTGATTTTGATAGCATTTCACTCCCAACAGTTGAAATAGGAGCAGCGGGGCTGCGTACCCAGCACCCCGGCCACCTGCTAGCTCATGCCCAAAATAACAACACACAAACTGTATTAATTTAAAGACTGCTTGACCCGTTTCTATCTAGCCTCTTCTAGGCTAATTCTCACATATTAATTTAGCCCATTTCTAATAATGTGTGTAAGCACCCCAAGGTGCGCTTACCGGGAAGATTCTAGCCTACATCCATCCTGGGTCTGAGCTTCATGCTTCTACCTCAGAGCGCAGAGCTATCGCGTCTACCCTGGAGAGCTGGGCATGGCGTCTCTGCTCCAGAAAGCAGAGCTGTTGGGTCTCTCCTGGAGCAGAGCAGAGTCTGACCTCACTTCCTCTTCCTCCCAGAATTCTATTCTGTTTACTCCTCCCACCTATGCTTTAACCTATCAGGGCCAGCCAAGCAGTTTCTTTATTGCTCAATGACCTTCCTCCATCACCCAACAATAAGAGCAAAATCATTTGCTGAATAACTTCTACAATCAATAACTCTGTGAAGTATAGTATTTATATTTTATCCTTCCTACAGCTTTTTTGAAGGAGACTTTGATTCTAGCTTCCCTGACAAAAATAAGGCATTTTAGAGGTTAAGAAATTTCCAATGGTCACAGGACCAGAGCAGAGTTGGGAATCCAGGGCAGACATTTTGACACTTAAGCACTGGATCTTTTGTTCTTTTCTGTCCCTACAAGGTTTCTATCTTCCAGCTACCATTGGAAAAGTTGGAGGATATGAACTAGATATTTCCTTGGTCTAAAACAAAGTAAAACTGAGAAATGAAATTGCTGGATAAGTCCTGACTTTAGATAAAGGTTTCTCAATGTAGAACCACAGTCCCCTGATGCCCCTAAATCTGGGAAAGCTTCATTGTCCCACCAGAGGAAGTGGACGATCCCTCAGTGACCAGGCACAGAGACGAGGATTATCACTACCAGTCTGTCATGAAGTTGGTCACACGCTGCGAAGCTTTATGTGCACCAGCACTGCTGGATGGAGTACTAGGCTGGTATTTTAGCAAGTCAAGACGCAGCAAAGAAGTGTTCAACCGCAAGGCTAAGACTCAAGGGACAAAGACCAACAGAACTGGAAGTCAGCACAGACTCCCCACAGGCATTCCTTAAGCGAATAACCTTGGATTCAGTCAGTGGCAAAGGAAATCTAAAGAACAAAATGAGGTGCTCTGTGGTCTGCGGAGGTGCTTAGGCAGAGAGTTAGCTACTGTGTTCTCTTCTGGACAGTTCGGTGTACTGTGGAACATTTTCTGGAAGCAGAAATCTAGATAAGACTGAGTTTAAGAAAGAGCAGCATAAAGAAAAGGGTAAAGGCTGAAAGTAGAAAGGAGAATGGGGATGACCAGGACTTCAGTAGCTGGTTGAATTTTAATGGAACTTTTAGCAACGGAAAGAACAATAGTATCTCTGGCCAAGTCACTGACGTCAAAAGAAAAGCAACTATAGTAGAGTACTTGCTTTCTCCATGACAAAAAATTATTATGGGTTTCAACCCAGTACTAAATGAAACATTTTTAAATGTGTAACTTGGTCTCCTCTTTTTGGAGACGAGATATAAAGCTGAATATAATATGTGTCACTTATATTTGTTTTGCAGTGAATTTTCTGAAGGCCCCAGAAAAGGTTTTCTAGAAACTAACTCATGAAAACCTTAGTATGCGTTGACTTTTAGTAACAATCTTATGCAATTCACTAAATGGTTGTACCATGCTTTTTAGCTAGTGATATAGTGAAAACTAATGCATGAAAACTCAGGTCCAAGGGGGGAAACACAGCTGTCAATATATGAGAATACCATAAGAGATGGCTACCAGGACTTTTGTGACTAGGATAGGAACCCCCACTTTCATACGTGGTACAATGCTTCTTCTTTGTCCTGATCCAGCCTGCAGCAGCCTCGCCACTTCTTTCAGTACAGCTGCAGTCTCCCACAGCCCTTTGCGGGTGATGTAGACCTTGATAATTCTTGCAATAAAAATCCAGCCATGTACGACATTTGGGAGGGAGGGAGCAAAGGGTTTAAATTGCCTTGGGGCGCTAGAACCATTATAAAGTTGGCTTTAATTAGAAATGGAAGACAAAGAAAATTAGGGGCTCAGATATTAAGTCAGATCAAAATGGTTACCAAATTAAGAGGCATGGGGCTGCCTCTTAGTGGTGCTAGATAAGAAGAACACTTAATGTAGGTTTTCTCCAAGATTCAAAATTTACTTACCAATTTCAAGTAGAAAAAAAATAAAGAAAACGGGATGCCACTTTAATACCTTTGTAGACGCTGACATGATGGACTCAGGGTGCCCTAAAAAACCCATCCCTTTTGCCACACTATGTTACAAACATACTTACACTTTCAAGAAAATTGGAGCATGCACTAGGCAGTCCGTTAAAGCAAATCTGCTTCTCGCGCTACACAAGATCTATGCCAATGGAATACAATTCGCTCACATTACTCTTCCATTCATTCGCTCTCTTCCTCCACCTATGTTCTCTGCCCTAAGAATGGAGTGGACTCTTTCCCTACAAGTTTTTCCCTGTGTCATGTAGATACAGCCACTTTTTTTATAACTCTCTCTCTCTCTCTCTCTCTCTCTCTCTCTCTCTCTCTCTCTCTCTCTCTCTCTGAAAGTCAGAGTTCCAAAGCAGTTATTAGTAGAGGTATACACTAGCTGAGTGATGGCAATCGACTCTGTCATGCCATGTGTCAGTAGTCAGTGCCGTCTCACAGAAGCCTGCATAAATAGCCATGGGGCCTCCAGGAAAAGCCCTGGACCCAGCAAAGAAAGGAAACTGTTGTTAGGCAGGAAGAATTCCTGCGAATGTCGACAGAAAAGGCAGCTTGCAGTATGTTCTGCCAAGCTCAGTGCCCATGAGCACTTAGAAGGGCACCGCAATACTTGCTGTGTGCGGTGAAGCCCTCCTTCAGAGGCCACCCATAGCATGGGACATTCGCTAGAAATGGAGGCGCTGCCCTGAGCAAGAAACTCCATCACCAGGAGATCGACATCCATACCTTATTGAAAGGATACTCTAGCCCAGAGCCCTGATTCTTTACCCTCCTTGAGCCTAGGATGGACCAGGGCACCTGAAAAACCATTCCCTGATGCCTGCATTCCACCCCATAGATTGCCAATTCACCAGTCTGGGGTGTGGCCTGCGCGGTGGGATTTAAAAACCCTCTCCTGCATAGCTGAGGTGCAGTCAGGCTCAAGAGTCCCTGATGGGCTTCTAGAGAAAGGCCACTTCTCCCACCTTACTTTGTTGCAGAGTCACTGATTGCTGGAGTCCTAACCTCTCTTCACTTAAGGCCTGACAGCCAGAGCTGCGCTGTAAGTAGGAGAGCAAACTCTACAGAAAGACTTGAACTCCCGCCCCCTGTCACTGCTGCCTCTGCTGCCTCTCAGCTCTCTCTTCCGTCCCTCACCATATAGCCACCCCTGACATGGCACTCACCTACCTTTCTTGGCAAACAACAAGGGCTACTATCAAGTAGTGCTTTAAAGGCACAAACCTGCAACTCTGCTCAGAGTCTGTGGCAGCTTTTGAGCCTGCATCCCCAGGTGTATCTGATGGGCAGCCAGGTTTGGGTGTCACTGGGCTCCTCAGTGGGTCTAGCCCTTCATCCTGCCACGTCATTAAGGATTTGTAAGGATGAATGAGCTGTCGTGAGAGCAAGGGCCTGCGGCAATGCTCCTTTATTAATTATGGAGAAGTGATGTATTGGCAATGGCATGGCTTCTCTTGGAAAGGACAATGAATGATTCGTCGATTGCTGCATTAGGTCTTTCCTGACTCAGTCTTAACGCTCAGTTTCTTACTCCTGTCTGTAGTTTAAAAGCAGCACAGCATTCATGCTAAAGGGCCTCTTGGTCTTTATTCCCACGGAAGCTGCAAGGTGTGAGCGAGGTAGCAACACCTTGAGTCTTTCCGAGATCTCCGCTGGGAAACCCCTGTCCTCGTCCGTATTTGATCCGCAGCATCTAGGAGCTAGCATATAATTCTTCCTATCTCAATACGAAGGCGAAACCCAGAGTAAGGATTAACATAAAAATGGTGATACGTCGCCAGATTCCCTTTGCTAAAAAGAAAGCTTCCATTAGAAGAGGACTAGAATGTGGAGGAAGAAAGATGTATCTGGAGTAAGGAAGAAGTAGGCGACTTGTATGGGGGGGGGGCGTCAGGTTGTCTTATGGATCAGTCTAGCAGGGTTCAAAAGAAAAGTTGCAGTAGCTCGTGTTTGCGCGTGTCTGTGTCTGGGTGCAGAAGGGAGCGCTGGCTTGCGCGGCGGGTACGCACTGCGGGGGGCCCCCGCGGCCGGGGAATTCAGCCACTGGTGGAGCACAGGAGACCCGGTGGCTGCAAGGGCTGCCCGCTCGGCTCGTGTTCCCACAAGGCACCCGGGGGTGGCGCGCGGGGTCCAGCTAGGCAGGAGGCGGCGGACCCGGCGCGTGCGAGCCAGTGCGAGGCTGCGGGCGGGCGGGCGGGGTGCGCGGGAGGGAGGAGAGGGAGCGAGGGAGGGAGCGCAGCGCGCGCGCCGCCCGGCCCCGGCCCTCCCAGCCTGCCGGCCTCGCCGCCTCCCGCCCGCGCGCACCGCTGCCTGCCACCGCCGCCGCCGCCACCGCCGCCGTCGCTGCTCCAGCGGGCGCTGCTCCGGAGTCGAGCCGCCGCCGCCACCACCGCCGCCGCCGGCTTTGTGCTTCCAGCCGAGGATGGGAGCGACCTCTTCCTGAAAGCGAGCTGTCTCCAAAAGGGAGTGAGCGCGCCCGATCGCCCGGCGGCGTGCAGGGAATCCATCCACAAGGCTCAGCCCAGGTAAGGAGCTGGTCCCTGGTAGGCAGCGACATCGAGAAGGAAACTGCTCTCTTTGAGGTTCTCAAGGCAGGGCTTCGTTTAAGCCAAAGGGTCGGCTTCTTAATTGTTCGTGTGTGTGTGTGTGTGTGTGTGTGTGTGTGTGTGTGTGTGTGTGTTTTCAAACGCACGCCTGCAGATTTTCTGGGTGTCCGTGGTTCTCCGAGAGTGAAATTGCTCAGGCTGTTTGGTGGTTTGGGGCGTGAGGGTCCCCGCCTGCCAGTGTAGATTGCCAGAGAAGAAAGGGCTGCTGGTAGGGGGGTGGGGGATGCTGCACCCTGGACAGTGCTGGGCTGCGAGGATTCCAGGCGCGAAGAGCTAAGTCCACCCAGAAATCAGGCAGCGCTGCTGGGAAGCCAGACACCTCCACCCACTGGGTTCCTCACACGGTCGGTCCCCCTTCCTCCTGGTAATCCCTGGGGTCTACCCCAAGGCTCCACTTGTGAGCCACCTCTCCTGGCGGATGTTGGGTGCTACTAGGCAAGGGCTGCAGAGGGGAGGGAGGTGTGGCTGGGTAGCCGAGAAAGAGGAGGGAGAAAAGCTATGGGGAGTGGGCTGTAGGATTCCCGTGCACCGGCACGGTGTTGGGGATTCTGCATGCACTTGCGTCTTTACCCCGAGATTCAAAGGGAACTTCACAGCTGCAACATTTACCACTGAGGCTGGGCTGGCCCTTGGGGAAATGGCCAGTGTGTTCTGAGATTCAAGGATCTCCTTCTTGGCTCCTCCTTCTCAAGGAAGAGGCAGGACAGTCCGCAAGAGAAACCAAATCCGTCCTGGAGACGCTTTAAAAAAATACAACATATGTGCTTGTTTGCCTCGTTGTCTGCCCCCCCCCCTTAGAGCCATAGATTCTGTCTCTGTCTGGTGAATGACTTGCTAGCAGTTCCTACTTCCCTCCCCAAATAAAGAGGAGGTGCTTGAGTTAAGAGCAGCAGTGATCCAATTTAACAAAGCATTTTTGGGAAGAGACCAACGTGCTTGTTATTTGTGATCACGGGCAGAAGAAAGTCATGCTTTTTGTGCTAGGTATGGCTTAATCTCCCCCCCCCCCCCGCCCTCCCTTAGCCTGGCTCCCTGGAAGGCGCTCTCTGCTAGTCAGCCACTAGTGGTTGTGAATATAACAACACAAACTTTGTCCTGCTGGAGGTGTAAAGCCTAACATGAGAAAAAAGGATATCAGTGGGAGGTGTAGCGGAAGAAGCTTTTCGAAAAATGACAGATGCGCTAAAGACAGTTCAGGCATCCTGGTCAGGGAGCCAGCCGCTGAGCGGGTGAAGATTTCTCATCAGATTTGCTTCAAGAGATTGTTTGAGGACCTCAGCTTGGAGAAGCAGAACGTTTACAACCTTAGATCTGCTGTCCTGCGGTGCGAAGGTTTCTCAAGGGGCTTGTGGGGGGGCGTGAGAGGGGAATTCTGAAAGTATGCCCCACTAAAACACACACACACATGTACCCATACACAGAGAGAGACACACAGACACACACACACATGTACTCATGCAGAGAGACACACACAGACACACACACATGTACTCACGCAGAGGCACACACAGAGACACACACATATACTCACACAGAGAGAGACACACAGAGAGACACACACACATGTACTCACACAGAGAGACACACACAGACACGCACACACATGTACTCACGCAGAGACACACACACAGACACACACACCACACACCTCCTCTCTAAGGCTCTTGGGGGAGGGGAATGAATCTAGAGTCTTCATTCATTTGCAATAAGAACACAAAGCCAGAAAAAGAATGACAGCTTAGGTTCCTCTTTCGAATTCCTGCCTTACTGGGATTTTGCTCTCTGGTTTTGTCAAACTTGCTTAATTTTGGAGGTTAGCTGGGTGTAGAAGGCAGGAGGAAGGACGGCCTGCTCCATCCATCTTTAGGGTTTTGTGAGAGCGGGTGCGGGGAGGACCCACTGCTCTCAGTCAGGTGGGCTTTCTTCAGTCATTTTCATTCCACACTTTCTGCCTGCTTTGAGGGTTCCATTTGGATCTCAGAACTCTTTAGCTAAGATCTCCCGTATAAAGACAGTCCCGATCTTTTCCTCCTTTTAAAATGGCTGTTGCGTTTTATTAAAAACAAGTGATTAGTTCCTAGAAAAAGAGTGAGGGAAAAGCAAACAAGCAAACAAGAAAGCTGAACTGAGAGAAAGCAGTATTCACTGCTGAGCTGACCAGAGGTAGCATCAGGATGTAAGCATCTAGGGTGATTATCTCAACTCTTCTGCCTTGAAAGCAAGCTGCTTAGCCTGGCTGGGGAGAGAGTGTTGGACTAAAGGCATTGGAAGGTAGTGCTTCATGGCCCCTGTCTATTTGTAGACCTTCTATCCTATAACTAGAATGGTTTCTATGGCATCAATTTGGATTCAGATTAAGAGACAGACGGAATTCCTGTTGACCATGAAGGAGAAGGAAAGAGCATAGCAGTGTGGGTGCTCTAACTCCAGATGAAAACCGGAGGGGAAGGTGAGGAATCCCCTGAGGACTGATGTGCAGGATTTATAGAAGTTGGCTCTTTCAAGCTCACTATGCTTTGAAACAATAAAATACATCAAGAAGAGCTTCAGCATTTGTTAGCAAGCTATATTTAACATGTTTTTTTATCAGACAAAAATAGACTTTTATTTATCTTGCAAAGTAAACGCATGGTTCCTTCCCTCTTAGTGCTTAATCTGTTTCTCTGACAAAATAAATGAGAAGGACTGTGAAGCCTCTAGAAATTGCTTTTCTCCCCTAAAAAGAGAATGGGCAGCAAGAAGAAAACACACGCGATGTAAAGAAAATGTTTTGTGACTGATTGTGTTTGTCACGTGTGTGGGGTGAGTCTTTTCGCCCAGGCACTCCAGGTAGAGGGAGGACAATATACAGAAAAGAAGCAGGTATAGGAAACAACAAGATCCAAGCTGAAATGGAAGTTAACTCTGTAGCAAGAAACATTTAGAGAAGATAATGGTATATCAGGCTGCATGCCTCATGTTCTTCGGCTGTTGTATATGTTACTTTAAAGTAAAACAAAAATGTGATTTTGTTAAGCATTTAGTGGTCCAAGTACTACTTTCTGTCACTTAGGGACATAAGTCTTTTGCTTAGCCATCATTCATACTATCCATACTCCATGATTGGATCCTATAAACTCACAGTTAGACACCCCCTTTCCCTAGTAGGAACATTTACCCATCTGACCAAATTCTACTGCTCCCTCTTGTGGCAAGTATTCTCCCCGACTTTCTCTAGATCCCCAGATCATCACTTAGCTGTCTGCCTCTCCAGTTCTAATTCTCAGTGGGGACTGAGAGTAAGCAGGCCAGTGGGTTACAGCACTAGCCGTTCCCACTTTTCCCTCTGTATAAAATGCTTTGGGCTCCCGGGGGATATCTCTCAGATTTAGTGGAAGTAGATGTCAGGTGTTTTCTGACCCGTTGGGATGGACTAGACTCGGGAAATGTGAGCTTTCAGCTTTTGCCTTTTGGGATTTTTATTTAAAGGCAAGACTCGTCCAGTGGGGCCTCATTAGATGCTGTAGGATTATTTTCCATTCTCTCTCTGACTTTCTCTTTCTTCCTCCCTCCCTCTTTTTTTCCTCCTTCTGGCCTTCCCTCTCTTGTCCTTTCTTTGTCTTTTTTTTTCTTTGCCCCAGCCTCTAGCCTCTCATGTGTACACATGCATGATGCTGAAACTTTAAATAATCACGGAGTAGGCTCTTAGTCTTTTTTACATGCAACCCAGACAGCTCATCTTCTGGCTTGGAGACTTCTAGGGTAAGTGCTTACTGCTAGGCTTTCATCAAAGGGGTTCCGAAGACAAACAGGGAGTGTCTTGATTCAATAGTCCTTACCTCTGTCTTTCCCTGCCAACTTTGTTTTGAACCTGGCTGCCTTCTGCTCACGGTTGCAGCTGTCCTTTGGTCCTTTTATTCCAGAGTGTAACCAGATAGATGAAGGTTCAAATGGCACACATTTTGACTTTACTTCCTGCCCAGTTTTCAAAGAAGGGAGGGAGCATCCTGACTGACAAGTGAGGCAAGAAAAATGTTTCCGTGGCTGAGGGTCAATACCTCCTTTATAACAAGTTGCTTGAGTCTGGCCTAAACAGTCATAGGTTCTAAACCTTTATCCATTGGCCAACATAAGATCTGAGATCCTTAGAGTGAAAGTCATTCATTTGAGCGAAGGTATTCTGTCAGACAGATCCCTAACCAAATATAGAGGTACTGCCTGGCTGAGAGGTACTCTGTATGAATCCTTGCAGGGAATTATCATATGTTCATCTGTGAACCTGGAATGGTTTATACAATTAACTGACAGAAAGTCCTGAGATGCGGAAGACAAAGAGCAATTGAATGGGATTTAAAGCTGCGTTTCTGCCCAGGGAATGCCCTTCCGAAGACTGTTCTTATGGGCAAGTATGAGGAGTCCAGTGCCAGGGAGCAGAGCTTCTAACAACGGTGTTGGTAGCCAGAGAGTAACTAGAAATAGGCAAACATGCATTCCCACACTAAGGGGCTACTCTTAAGCAGCCTTGGATCTTTTCTTGAAAGTTACCCTCTTTTTTTGTAAGGCTTCTGAGAAATGGGCAGAGTATTTTCTGCAGAGTAAATTGATGGTCTTCGAATTCTGAAGGTACTATCTTGCACCATATGCAGCATTCCCAAGCGCTGAAGTGCTGTATGGTACCATCATCAGCGTCCCCACTGGTTACCTAGGTGATAGTAGCCTGATGCCAATTAGGGTAAATAGTCACCTGGACATTCAAGAGATGGAAGATAGTATCGGGGGCCATCTTAAACTCAAAGGCAGAGTAATCACTCTGCAGATCTCACATGGCCATTGCAGGCAAAGTCACAAATAATAATTTCTTTGTTGACTCTAATGTGAGATCAAGTCAATCAGCAAGGCAGTGATTCAGCAACTTACATAAATCCAACTATGACATTTAT